AGAGAGAGAGAGAGAGAGAGAGAGAGAGAGAGAGAGAGAATTAAAATTGAGGGAAGAAGGGAGAGGATAAAAGTGAAAAGAAAGAGAACCAAGCACCAGGTTCATCCATTACATGCAATATGATCTATGAATATTTGAACAGAAGATGGGTGAGAACAATAATAACGATGATAAAATACATCTCTAGAGAGGTTAGGTGAGGTGGAAATTGAAACCAAGGTGCAGAAGGCCTCAAAATCTCAAGGTCCATATAGAAGGAAAACATTGGGCTAGACTGGTGCAGTGACATACTGATTCAGCAGTGTTTTGTCCCAGATGATTAAATCCTATTTCTAGCTGGCCACTCTCAGCCATTTCTTTGCAGTCCTCAATCTATTTCTCATAGCTGAGGACTTTGGAACTAGTAGCTAGATCTTATAAGAATGCACTGACATTAGGGATGCACTGACATAGAATTGGCTGCCTCTCCTTCCCCAGCCTCCCATTTCTCAAGGCTATTCCTTCCCAGCAAAGACTTTTCCTCTGTGCTAAGGGTTTTCAACCTGGTCTCCTGGTTGAATTTCTCTTTCATCTCTTTCTTCCTCTATTCCACCCTCACTCTTTGGTTTGCTCTCAAACTTTCTCCTTTTCTTCCACTTACTATTATTCTCTTATCCACCAGTCATTCAGGCTGTCGTCAGTCTGTCTGTCTCTGTAATTGTGTGACATGGGCCCGGATAGCTCCCTCATTTCCATGCCTAAATACCTGTAGCCCTAAAGATGGGGGGGGGGGGGCTGCAGGGAAGACACACTGTCTTGACAGCCTTCTTCAGCTCAAAATTGTCTCTGCTTACCTCCACCTCATTTCACAGACCCAGAACTCAGAAAGCTCTGGCCCCATCCTCTCCCAGAGTTCCAAATTCAGGAGTAAGTAATCTACTTTAATTTCCCATTGATGTTAGAACAGATCCCTAACCCAGGGGACTTTAGCTTATCTCTGTCCTCCACTCACCTTTCTACAGTGCCAAGAAGAGGATATGTTGTCTTCTTCTGGATGTTCCACCACTACAGAAATATGACTGCAAGGTTGAGGGGCAGGGAGCTATCCCAGTGATGAGATGGTGAAGGAGGAGGTAGGGGAAATAGGGCATCATTCAGGTTCCCCATGTGATAGGAGACACTTGGCACTCACATTTCAAGAAATTCTAAAGAAAACGGGGGTCACAGAAGCTTCTCAAGCCTTGAAAGGTGATGAATTGATAGAGGAAAAAGTCAAGCTTTGGGGAATTTGGGGAAGATGTGGGATAGAAAGGAAAGAGTGCTTGTATGTTTAGAATGGGAGCTGTAAAGGCCACAGAGACAGGGGCAAACGATGATGAAGAATGGATGATATTACGGTGACAACATGAGAACTCAAATTAAAACCCCAGAGAGGCAGCAGCGTTCTTCTCTTGCTTGGAAGCAGCCCTTCCGCTTGTTTCTCAGCACTGGACAGGGAAAGTGTGAGAAAGAGACTTTATGTCTTCTCCCGAAGCCTGAACAAGTACATTTCACAAGTTCTAAGAGTAGGTCAGTCGAGAAAAGGGCTGAAAATTCATTCTATCTGACACAACGAAGCTGATCAAAGACAGCTTAGATTGTATGGTTAGCTTCACAGCCCACAAAATCATGGGGTTTTTTTTTCTAGTGGTGCTTGCCTTTAGCTTAGGTGTTATCAATCTACACAGCACATGACTGATGACCTTGTCAAAATGACGCCAGTCAAAACATTTTTAGAGGAGCTCTGTTCAAATTTGTGTTAAAATGTCCTGTGTTAGACGCAGACAAAATCTAAACAGCAACTTTTCCCAGGCTCTGCTAGAATGAATGAAAGGGTAGAAAAAGGAACAAAAAGTGGGAAATGAAAGGGCTCGTAGAAGATTCCAAATAATTGTGTTGTGGTGTGTATGTGTGTGTTTTAAAGATAAACATTGCTTCGCCTGTTTTCTTATCTGCTCTCCGTAATGAGTAAACAGGAAGAAAGCTTGGTGCTTTTCGAAGACATCCCCGTATTCCAAATCCTGGTAGAAGGGGAGGGAGAAAGTTGTGGAGTGAGACGCTCCAGCATAGAACATTGTTTTCAACCTGAATGCACCCTGAGTTCTGGAAAGAGGACTATGCTCCAATGGGGCAGATTGTAAACAGCGGGTATTGCTGCTTCCTCCTGGCCCTATGGAAGTGGACCTCTCCAGAAGCTAGAGAGAACAGACGGTAAATGGAATCAAAACTGTAAAAGCACAGTTGTGCCACCAAAATGTGAATCCAAACAAATGAAGAAGAATGAGGAAGTGCTTGAGGGAGAGAGACAGGAGATCCAGAAGAGAGAAAACCGCAAGAAGAATTCAAGAAAAAGGTGAGACAGGCACAGAGATATAAAAGGGAGAAAGTCTATGATAACTTTTGCAGATAAAAGCTTTCAGACAGGAAGGTCACATTATATAAGTTCTCGGGCAAGATATAGTTCCTTTAGAAGAAACTGAGTCCCCAGACTTCTAAACCCTGAAATCAAAACTGCATCTACTTCTTATTAAATGTTTCTCTCAAGTAACACCACTACCCCTTCCATCCAATAGAACTTTCTCCCGGAAGGATTTCTCCTTTAGAGAGTATGCACGGGTAGTCAAGTTGACTCTAACACTTCAGGGGAAGCTTTGGAGGGCAAGAGGGGAAGCACAAGTTCCCAGGAAATCCTCAGAGTCTGTGTTTATAGCTTCCTAGCTGGAAACATAGGCATGAGGAGATTCCTTTTTCGTTTCTTAGTTTTCTCTTGTTTCAAGATAAGGGAATAAAAGGCACCTAAAAAAAGTCAGAGAAAGAACGAGAGACCAGTAGAATGAGAGATACTAATAATAAATGAAATAAAATAAAAATTGGAGGTGTTAGACGTGGTATAAGGGATCTCAGACAACCATTTGGATCCTGCGAAGTTATAACCTTTTATCTCGCCTCTTTCTTTCTTCGTTCCTGGTCCGTCTGTCTGTCTGCCTTCCTCTCTGTGTCTGTCTCTGTCTCTGCAGGGTGTCTGTGCCTCTGTCTGAGTCTTTCTGTCTCGATTTCTCTTCCACTAAAACACGCACACGCGTGCGCGCACACACTTATATACACACACACTTGTATTTTGTGCTGTCGTAAAACCCACGTGTTCAGCAGGGAGGCTGCCAGACAGCAAGGCAGAAGAGCCGGGACGTGGCTGCCAAGCGCAGCCCCACGGCGGGTCTGGGCTGCCGGGATCTGTCCCAGCCACCTCCAGCTCAGAGTTCCGACTGCTCCCTCCGCTGGCTTCCAGTATCCTTTACCCTTTGATCACACTCACATTCCTCTTCTTTCCCCTGGCGACTCGCGATCTTCAGAGAGACTGCTCTGGGGCATGTAACCACACACACACACACACACACACACACACACACACACACACACACAC